ATGAAGGTCCCCCTAACAATGTTATCTCAGGAGATTCATCGAAACCAAGTTTCTCTTCGTATCTACAGTGATAAAAGTAGTTGAATTTGTTTCCATTCAGCTCCACATGGCCTCCCTTTCACAAAAGGTATTCTCATCCCGAGTGGACCGCAGTGGACGACCGTGCGGCGTATAGTCTCGACACGTTAGCCAACATGCCACATTGCCACGAGTGCTTTTGGGTCAAAGGGCAAATGTAAAGTTCAGGCAAGGCCAGGCATCTTCTCATATCACATGCTGGGATGAAGAAAAATTGCATTCGCTATGACAATCGACTACGTTACTCATCACCTCACACGAAATGGGATGAATACAAATGATCTACTACTGGTTGTCTCGAAAGAGCTTCTTCAAAACGAAACACGCCTATTCGGGAGCAAGTGTATGTGAAATTCATTTGCATCTTGAGGCCTACTCATCTCGTTGTGGGACAATTCAGTATCAATCTCGCCTCTAAATCCCACTAAATTCGATTAATAATTTCAATCACAATCACAATCTCAGTCGCAATTTCCTACACTAGCTGTGATCATTTCCGACCGTCTGGGCAGCCGAGCTCATGAATAAATATGCTTGAGTGAGGCTCCGAGCCACTTGCTGCTCTGAAAATGTCTGTTGCCACGGCACATACGAGATTGGGGAGGCTGAAGAGGCAACAGCGTAGCCCAAGGGACAATGGCAGGGGCTGTGGAGCAATCTTTTCCGATGTGGGTGTCCGATGCGGGTTCACTTTGAAGGCGGATCAGTCGACCTATGACAGACGGAAAGAGGGCAAATGGACGCGAGCTGCCTGGGAGATAAGATTCAAAGACCAACTGTCGCACAATGTCGCTCTGTGTTGCTCTATCCTCGCCTATGCATAGGCCAAACTGTGAGGCTGCAACCGTCACTGTCTAGCCCAGTGGGAGCAGAGGTGAGCGATACTCGCTCTGGTTGCGTGGGAGTTGACTTGCATACAAGTTTAGTGCAACTCTGTGTTCACTTTGACTAGATGGCATAGTATAATGAAGCAGGGAAAGTCGAATTATCCCAAATTCGATGAGCATGTCTGACGATTTCATGGAATTTTACTGGGCCTTCCTTTCTGAAATCTTTTCTTATCCACACTGGACCGGGCTGGTCTGCAGTTTCGACCCATAACGTGACTCTAACTTGCATTGTGGTAGGGGGCAGGCTAGAATTTAGACTCATCAACTTATAAGCAAAACACTGTCATTACTTGCCTTGTGTCGTAAGGCAGGCGTGAATAAAAAGGAGGCCAGGCCTATTCCTTGCTACATTTGTGTAGTTTAAGGGTAAATAGTTAAAAATGTATATTTGCTTTTACAATCAACTAACTACTTATATCCGTATTAAGTAGGTGTCGAAGATACCAGTAAATCTTGGATGTGAGTTGCAGTCAGGTGATGATATTTAGTAGAAAAGCGAGGCCTATTCGCTTGAATGTGGTAAATTGCAACTATTCAACTTTTATCACCCTATGTGGCCTAGCGGGAATATAAGTTTTATTCAAAATTTACGTGGCATTTCGTTTATAGCTCACCTATATATTTAGTGTATTCACCATATTTCGTTTGAGGTGATAAGAAGACTGGTAATTGACTTTTCCCACAAGGATATGATTGGACATTACGCTTCCATTGAATTTTGCATAACATTCATTTCCGAAATACATTCTCATTTCGGCTAGAATGGACTGGGGTGTGGACTTTGCCTGAATTTGCCTCATCAGCACCCCGAGCCGGACTCGAACTACGACACTGCAACCTATAATCTCGACATGTTAACCACTACGCCACTTTGCCGCGAGTTCCCTTAGGTCACAGGGCAGATGTCAATGTCAAGAATGGCCAGATATTTTTCCATATCACATTCTGTGGTGGGATTGTCGATGAAGTAAAGTTGTATTTGTTAGAGCAATCAACTATGTGACTTATTGAGGTTGTTTAAACTTGTTTTCGCAACTTGGTCATATTGGTAGGAAGACTTAGAGGAACGCACATAGTCCGGAGTCCATTTTATGCATGATTATTTGCAAACTCGGACCGTGGATGTGGTACATTCCAAAACGTGTCGCCAGCGTTGTAGTCGGTATCGCCCTTGAACATTATCATACTTAGCACCACACAACAACTCGTCAAAGAGACAAGTGAAGCCGAGCCTTTGACCAAACGTGTGCTAATCAATTGTGGTATCTCCCCTTCTGCCCTGGGTTATTCACGTTTCCTGTATCATCCTATCATGCCTTCACTATTACACTCTTTACTGTGTTTATTTAGATATAGTGTCGTGTGCTCCTTTGAGCGATATGACACCTTCACACTCCAACTGTCGTTCTCATCCTCCCCTTTATCCTTGTGCGAGGAATGTTGATCATAGTCTGCTTTATTATTATTCCTAGTCTTATCCCACCCCTTTGCTACATGTACCACGTCTCTGGTACAACAGACCTACCGTCAGTCAACTAGCTCCTGTCCTCACCATCTCTATCCTCTTTCTATCCATAATACCCTAGTCTCTTGTGTGTGCTAACACACAAATGTCGTGGTACAGCTTGTTTTGATTTGGTTCAAAGTTGAACCACAACATTTTTGGGTTGTTGAGGGGACCTTCATTTCGTATGAAAGTGTATGAAGAAGTGATTCGTTGGTCGATCTCACCAAATGAGGACGGATGAATCTCGTCGTATTGCAGCCGTTTGGATTTTATACGATATTCATGTTGATAAGTCCACGAGACTTCCTCACTCGGTTCGGGTGAAAACGTGTCCATCATATGATGGACAACATCAAAACTGAGTG